TAGATGTGTAGATTTGCAAGAAACGTGTAAAAGTGAATACACGTATACATAGTGAAAAGTGTATACACGAAAAGTGTTACATCCTACATGTTTCTTGCAAATCTATACACCTACAGACGTGTAAAAAATGACTACAATAAAATGTGTAATAAAGTAATACATTTGTAACACACTTGTTTTTACAGTGAAACTGTTATTTTATTATGTTGATACGTTTAGAACATCCAGGAGAAAGTAATATAATATAATAACGAATCATTATATAGTGTTATTATAAGCAAAATCTTGAAAGAACTAGGAAAGAACATGGGCAATAGGAGTCAAGCGCAGAAGACGTTGCGCAAATAATACACCCATAAAGCGTAAAACTTCTTTATTCTACTATTAGTAGCTTGGGTATAGGAGTCAAGCGCAACGTCTTCTGTGCTTGACTCTTATTGCTCATGTTCTTTCCTAGTTCTTTTGATTTATAAGGAGTCTTTGTTATATAAAATCTTGAATGAATATATGGGTATGATACCCATCTCATAGTTGGTGTAACAATTACCCATCTCATTCACGCCAAGTTAGAAAAGGAACGTATAGAAATTTATTCTATAATTTGTTCTTCGTTCGGTTCATTCACAGTTGATATTTCTCCCTGTTGAGTTTCTTTTGATTCAGTCTGTGACTTCTTTGATGTATTGCTCTTTAAAGTTTTATTATTATTGTAAAAACGTTCCTTGCTTCTAACGAGCTATGTCTTTATTATCTCAATAATCTCGAATTCACTACAACCTGTTGTGTTTTTATTTGCACGAACAACATCTGAAAGTAAATGAAGTGTTTCAATATGTATAAAATTACATATATAAAGAATAGACAGGGCATATAAGAATCAGTTATAAAAACCGTGACATAAAAGAAATCAAGACGTATAATATATCATAGTCCGTAAACTTGAACAGTAGAATTCATAATATTACATGCTTCGACACTTCTTGATTGAGCTAGCTATCTACAGATATTCGAATAAATACAGTAATGTTGGAAAAAAAGAAACGCAGTAATATAAAAAAATAATAGCATAATCTATTCATGCTATCATAATTCATTCATGCTATTAAGCCCCAGACACAATACGAGAGAATAGTGATAGAAATAACACGATTTGAATGTATCAGAAATCAGATACACCGAAATATAGTTTCTGGTAGATTGAAATCGTGTTATTTTTATCACTATCACTATTCCCTCTCATTGTGTCTAGGGCTCTTCTTTATTCTTTTATATTACTGAGTCATCTTTTTTCATATTATTGCGTTCATTATTGTATTCGAATATCTGAAGATGGCTCAATCTAGAAACTAATACATGTAATATTATGTATTATATTGTTTAAATTTAATTACGGATTATAATATTATTCATCTTGATATCTCTTATGTTATGACTTCTATAACTGACTCTTACGTGGCCCTTTTATTCTCTCTCTCTCTCTCTCTCTCTCTCTCTCTCTCTCTCTCTCTCTACATTGTTTTTTTATATTAAAAGTCGTTTATTCTTGGTAATTTATTATGTATTTTTTAAATTTTGATATTAAATATAAACACTAACCTATGATTACTGAAGAAATGGAAAGTGATTTAAAAACTTTTTTCTTTCTTTTGCCTTCCCAGGAGTACTCCATGCCTAAGGAATTTTCAAATAATCGATACATGACCCGCTTCACAACCTCCTTTGCGGTTGGCCCGCCAATTTTGCTCAATTCTACTACCTGTGAAAAAAGAAAGTTTAGAGTTTTGTAGACACGTCATAACATTTCCGCGAAATTACTAAAGTACCAAGTTCTGTCTGTTTTGTTCGGTTTGTAACCACTACTTGAATTAATCCTTCCGAATTCATAGGAAGTAACTTTAATATTGGTATTGGCTCACATGACAAGCTTGTGGGTTTTACAATCGTGTTTGAAACACTTTTCATCAATGAAGAAATTGACTCAGAAATTGCATCAACTTTTATATGCAGGAGATTTATGTCTTTCAGACATTGATTTTGATTTTCTGTAATCAAATGAAACAAACCATTCAAGCATCGCAATCAAGTAAAAATAAATATATTGTACAAGAAAATTTTGGACCTTTGAATTGGAGGAATTGTACTCTCATTGTCTTCTCTTTTTCGTATTCTGATACAGCCTTATTAATTTCAACAGAACGAACAGAATTTTTGTGTATGAACAGTTTTTTTTGCTTCCATGTGTTTCTTCTTTGTAGTAGCTTAAATAATAGTATAAATAATAATTTAATTAATATACTAGACTTATTAATAGCGTACGAATAAATTTAGATACATTATAGTATTACCAACAAATTTATCAAATTGAACTGGATATTCATTCGAATCATCGGTAGATGATATTTCAGTGTCACTGCTATTAGAGGTGACTTGTAACTTTCCAGTTTTCTTCGACATTTGGGGGTTGCTTTTATTCTTTCTTGCAACCAGTGATTCGTCATTGGAGGTTAAAAGATCAGTTGTTTGCGCTTTTTTAGCTTTATGTTGCGCATAATTAAAATCCTCTAAATTTGTAAATAAAATAATATTGACAAATACATAAACATTTAAAAATGACTAAACTAAAAAATTTTGAACAATTTCTCAAAAATACTGTTATGACAATCTTATGTCTAAAAGATAAGACAGCGCCTCACAATTAGTTGAGACTTTATTTAAATTTAAAAAGTTCAAGCTATTATAATATTCTCAGGGTTACCACAGAAAACGAATTTCAAAATTCCCTAACTCTTTCAGCTTTCCAGATAAAAATGGAAAATTTCCATGACCAGTATAAAATACATTGTATAATATTTATAATCAAAAATTGTAGGAAAGTTAGCTTATATTATTAAAAATGCAAAAGAAGCTTAGAATAATAAAATTTTGCATGAAAATTTAAGCCAACAAAAAAAATTAGTATTGGAATAAAGAATGCAGTTATAACAGGCGATGAAATTACTGAATAAAATATAAATTTTAACTATTTTATTAAAATCATTTAAAGTGCACGAATTTTGAACGTATTTGACTGTAAATGTAAGAAATATAATATTTAGAAAATAACAATTATTTGGAATAAGAATAATTTAAGGAAATTTTGAGCAAACTTCAAATTCTAGACACTTTTATATTTTCCCTGACTTTTTCCTATTTTCCAAGTCTGTGGCAACTCTGTTGATATTTCAAGATTTTCTCCTGGTAGTCACTTTCAGAAAGTAAAATGGATAAATATTAACATTTAAACGATAGATGAGAAAAAAATTTGTAATTTATTTTAATCGCTTCAATACATATCATAAAAGCTTAGAAACGTTGCGTCAAATAATTTCCACGACTCATCGGGTTCGTGTTAATTTTTGATAAATTCCGCAGCTTTATTACTCAGTTTCTTAGGCGGCCAATAACATTGATTGTTTTCTTTATTATACCACGTCGCAGGTACAGGTCAACTTAATTTTCTTTAAAAACAATGAAAGAACAAGGGCAGTTTTCTAGAATCAAATTATAATCTGTTTTATTTATATGTATGTTTGTTTTGAATTTGCACCTTGAATAACGTACGAGTTACTTTTCATGGTAATATATTATTAAATTTAGGTAATATACACTTTATGTATGTTCACTTTGAACTGGCACGTTTATTAATAATATATCAGTTACTCTTCATGGTAATATATTATTTTAGATAATAATTTAAATTTTTAAAGGTTTAAATTTTTGTGAATCTTTTTTTGAACATGGCCTGAATTTTTCATTTTATGATTTTTTTTAGGATATCACCTACTTTTCAGAGTACAGATATACTCTGTAGCTTTCTAGTAATGCAAGTATCACAAATGTATATATTTTCGATTTTTATCACGTAACTTTCTATAAGCTACAATTTATTCAATACAGTTAGAAAAAATTGAAATATATGGTATATTCATATATAAATATATAATTATATTGTGACGTTGCAGTTTCGCTGCAGCTTCGCAGCGACCCTTTGCCGTCACAAAGCGCGGATTCGCGCCTGACCCGAGCCTGGACACGCGAGCGAGCGAAATCTCCAGGGAGTCGTATATTAGCGTTAAGTTAATTTTTTCTAATCCCCGGCGAATTTATTCCGTATGTAACCATTACAAAAACCTCGCCGAGCGAAGAAACCACCGGAGGGAAGACAACCCCGGAAGAATCCCGCGGGCTGGAGACGGGCGGAGCGGAGCCG